TAATTTCTTTCTATTTTTAGTAGAGACGGGGTCTCGCTCTTGCTCAGGCTGGTCTCGAACTCCTGACCTTGAGCGATCCGCCCGCCTCGGCCTCCCAGAGTGCTAGGATTACAGGCGTGAGCCACCATGCCCGGCCTAGAATTTTGTAAAATCGTATATTATATATCTCTCTATAGGACCTCTGTGAAGATAAGAACAAGATGTAAGTTGTTCATTATTGAGTTTTAGCTCCAGTTCTTTGCACACTGATTATTTGGGAAGTATTTAAGTTGAGCTACATTTGAGAGGGGTGAGGATTCAGTGCCTGGTTGAGATGACTAATAGGAAGCTGTACCTGTGAGTCAGAGGTTCAGAAGAGAGGGTCTTGGTGAGGATGTCGATGTAGCCTCCATTAACACATGGGTTATACTTAATTCATTGGGGATGGATGAGAAAAGAGAATAGGGCCAAGGACAAACTCTTAAAACATAGGAACCCATAGAAAGGAGGTAGGATAATCAGGAGAGTATGCTGTGGCAGCTAAGAATAGAGTGAGTTTAGAGAGTGGTCAAACTATCTAATTCTGCATATTGCCATGTAGGTAGTAAAATTCATTCATTCGTGCATTTGTTTATTCAGCAAACAGTGTCTACTAACGCTAAATGAAATTTAGGGTAATCATCCAATAATAGTTAAGGTCCATTCTCTGGAATCTTCAACTAGTGTTATCTATTCTTTCATTGTTTTATGTTATTGACTAATTCATTATTTTCTTGTTGTTTGTAAAGGAAACTTTTCAGTATACACTCTTCAGATGGGCTGAAGAGCTTGATGCTCTCAATCGAATACAAGACTTACTTGGTTGCTATGAGCAGGCCTTGGAACTGTTTCCTGATGATGAAGTGATTTGCAATAGTATGGGGGAGCACCTCTTCAGGTTTGTAGTAATTTCAGTATTACTTGTTAAGAGTTATTCTATATCATTGTGGATCAGTGATAAATCATATAGTAATTTGAACAGGGAAAGTTTAATATAGAGAATTATTAACTCTAGTGGGAATAGGCATAAGGAGGGATTGGCTAGGACGTAAGGAGAACAGAAAAGAATGTAGAAATAGCAGATATAATACATAGTATCTTGGCAGTTTTTTCTTTTTTTTTTTTGAGACAGAATCTGGCTCTGTTGCCCTGGCTAGAGTGAGTGCCGTGGCATCACCTAGCTCACAGCAACCTCAAACTCCTGGGCTCAAGCCATCCTCCTGCCTCAGCCTCCCGAGTAGCTTGGGACTACAGGCATGCACCAC